TCCTTTATTGTTTACAAAGGAAATACAAAACTTTGTAATAGCGAACTCTACAACTCAGGAGCTAACTTAAAGAGATTCATCCTGAAACAAATTTAAGCCTTTTACTCTAATTTACTACAAATTCACAATGAGTTACACACAAGCACGAATAGAGGCAGACAAGGAGGTTGGGTATGTGGGGCACATAAAGAGGATAGAATTTTTATATACATACAGTCATCACTCCAGTTGCTACACTAACACCAGTTTCTCCAAATATTGTTGTTGCTGTGTCTGTAACTGAAGCAGTTGCTCCAATATTGACCACCCTAGTGACAAAAACATATGAAAAACAATATGAAAAATACTAACCATATGAAAAACAATCCAATTCATGACATAGTATTTTGCATTTATAAAATTGACATGCTGTATCACCAATTAAGAAAACTGGATTTGGGGAATGTTTAAATCAATTCAAGCACAACCACAGAATAATTTCAGTTGACTTGAAAATTATAAAACACCAAAACTAAAGAGATTATGAATACTAATAATGGATTTAACCAAGACAACTGTAAAGACTGAAAAAAGAAGCATAGCCAATATACCTCCAAAAGTTCAGAGCCACATGGAGGACTTTTTCGAAGAGTATGTCTATCGTATTCAAGAAAAAAATCCCATATGCGCTCATTAATTGGGTAAAAAGATGAGCAAAGCCTTAATTGCAATTTAAAAATAGTTTTTCCATCTTCCAAATAATCCAGCCTCTCCTACAATTAAAAGATATGGATTAATAAATAATCATCTAACACAGTAAAATGTAACCATCTATGTGATAATGAAGCTAGGCTAGTTTTATTTATAACAAACTATTGAAAAATTGGAATCTCTTAAACACAATGAGAAAGAATTAGTTACATAATAGGGTGTGAATATCATTTTATAATTTACAATGTAGAAAGGTTCAAACAAATTAATTTTTTCTTGTGAATATCATTTTACACATATCAAAATAAAAATACCTTTCCATTTTCTTGAAGATACTGTGGAACCAGTTCTCTCATAATCAGTAGAGAAATTTCTGATTGCAACTTGAGTACAGAACGTAGTTCCAGAACGTAGTTCAACAGGGTGAAATCATTGAATGATGTAACGAGGAAAAAAATGAAATGATGCAGATAACAAAAGCATGAGAAAAAGTCATGTCTAAATTACTAGAAAATATACTGTTATGGCATTTAGTTGGCATCAAAGAAGGCTAGCACCTAATACAGACTAGAAAAATGCTATAATATCTGGTTTCTCAGTTTGTTTATGACAAAAAGCTGCTGGTATTTTATTTTTATTTTATTAAATTTTAGGGGATGGGGAATAAAAGCCATTATTTGGTACAGATAATTATTAGTCTCATTACCAAATCTTAATTGCAACTGCTTTAGAAAAAAAGGCTAAAGGATAAATAAAATTGTTCCCAATTCAACCCTTCTCTATACCCTACTCAAGTGTGACCTGTACCAAAATATTAAATTTCTTGAGGTATAAACTATAAACAATCATATATGACTTTTATGATTCAATAACTTCGTACACTAAGCTGAGGTAATGAGAGTTCTTGATGTTAAATACCACCTCTGTTGTTTTTAATAAGATTTTGTCAAACTTATCCGAATAAACTAGGTAGCATTTCACTGTAAGGTGAATGAAGACTCACATTGATATCATCCAAGTACCCACAACATAAACCAGGAAAGTAACCTGACAATTGAAATTATAACATTA